AGGACCTGATAAGGGTTTTAGGGTTTAGGGTTTAGGGCTTTAGGCTTTAGGGTTTAGGGTTTAGGTTTTAGGGTTTAGGGTTCAAGGTTTAGGGTTTGGGGTTTAGGGTTTAGGGTACTTGACTCGCTTGACACCGGGGTGGACCCGGGCTCAGGACTGAGAGCAACGCTGATAGGCCCACCCTCTTCAGGAGGGAGACCTCCTGACCTCCTGCCATAGTCATTCGTATAGTATAGTATGATATAGTATATTCTAGTTCAATGTAAAATATTCTCATACACTATGGTGAAATTGAATATGAGTCTTCTAACTCAAGGCATGCAAGTGCAGCGGCAGCCTTCAGGGTTTAAGTCATCCTCAGCTTTCGCAGGCTCAAGCATGCCGCACCAGGTGCTGCAGGTGCTTGAGCCAACATCGGAAGCAGCAGAAAAATCTAGTAGAATATACTATATTTATGGGGCAATATAATATAATATGGTAGAATATAATATAATATACTATAGTGGTAAAATATGGTAAATATATCGTAAAATATAGTAAAATATGGTAACAAAACTACAGTATAATTGTATTATACGGTGGATGGACAAAATCGTGCATGACCTGCTAAATCAACAGCATACAGTTATCAGCGATTGATCTCCCCCTGCCCCTCTAATCTCAATGTTGCTAACACACAAAGGTCATGCAGGATTTCGGTCATTCGCGCACGTGCCCTTTTTGACCATTCTGGGGCTAATCCTAACACAAAGGTCATGCAGGATTTCGGTCATTCGCGCACGTGCCCTTTTGACCATTTTGGGGCTAATCAATATTAAGATTCAGGGTTGGCAGGGATGGCTGGCGACAGAAAACTGATGCAGGATTTCGTCCATCAACAGTATGGTAGAATGATATCAGATAATATGGTAGAATAATATCAGCAATAAAAGCCTGCGGCTGGCCAGTGTGCACACAGCGGCAACTTGGGACAGCTGCTGAGTTTAGACCCTAAACCCCTATAAGTTTAGGGTTTAGGGTTTTAACGCTTTAGGGCAAACCCCCTTCAAGGAGTTTAGACTGTATTATACAATCCCCTATAGAATCTCCTATATAAACCTTCTTTGGGCTGTAGCTCATTGTGGCTTGAAGCACGGCTGCTGCTCTAACGCTCTGCCGGCAACGTGAGGCACTGCAAAGTACTGGTAGCATTCGGACCGTTCTCAAAATTAGGGCCCTTTTTGGTAATAGATTATATTACAGCACCTAATATCTTGGCGTACCAAGACGGGACCCTAATTTTGGGAACTATCCCTTCCACTTTCCAATTTTGTCTTCTCTGTTTGCAAACCTTGCGTAGCTTCCGAAGAAAGTCGGACGGCACATTTCACTATGGCCAGCACAGATGCCAGCCTGAGCATTCATGACTTGCAGATCGCCAAGCATCAGATCAGCTTGGGCGCGGGCAGGAGCATCTGACCTGGGAAACACACGCCACTTCAACGCACAAATAACGCAGCTGTCCATGCAACGCCGCGCAACACGCTTGCAAGGCACTACTTGGAAGCATGTGAATAATTGGAAAGTTTCTAGGTATCCATCGTATGGCTCCACTCGCAGCTGCTGAAATGTCCATAAACCATGAGGCTGAGAAACTAAGCCCTGCACCCTAAACCTTTCAAAAGGCGGTTTCCATTTCATCTTCCATGTTCTTTTGCATTTGGCTCTCGATTCTTGAGGTACTGTCCCCGTAGAGCCCCATATCATCCCCGAATAGCCCGTATAACCCCTATAACTCCTAATCCCTAAACCCCTATGCAACCCTCCCTAAACCCCAATCCCTTGACCCCTGAACTCTGAACCCTAAATCCTGAACCCCATAATATCCCTATATAAACACCAGAAAAATCCAACCCCCACATGACGTTTAACAGAATCTAAACCCTAAAGCCTAAACCTTAAAGCCTAAACCCTGAAGCCTAAAACCTAAACCTTAAACCCTAAACCCTAAACCTTAAACCCTAAACCCTAAACCCTATACCCGAAACCCGAAAGAAGGCCAAGTGGCCCAAGAGGTGGCGAGAGTCCGGCGATCCTGCAGAGCCCACCTGGGAGGCTCCAGGCCGCTCTGAACATTCAGGGTTTAGGGTTTAGGGTTTAGGGTTTCTGGTTTAGGGTTTAGGGTTTAGGGGTTATATAGGGATTATATAGGGATCATGTAGGGATTATCTAGGGATCATATAGGGATTATATAGGGGTTATTTGAGGATTCTATAGGGATTATCTAGGGATTATCTAGGGATTATATAGGGGTTATATAGGGGTTATATAGGGGTTATATAGGGATTAGCTAGGGATTATATAAGGATTATATAGGCGTTGTATAGGAATTCTATAGGGATTATATCAGGATTATTTAGGGGTTATCTAGGGATTCTATCGGGATTGTCTAGGGATTAGATAGGGATTATCTAGGGATTATATAGGGATTATTAAGGGATTATTTAGGGCTTATATAGGGATTATATAGGGAAAATGGAAAAGAAAATAGAAGCTACTAATTTAGGTTTTGGGTTTGGCTTTAGGGTTTAGGGCTATATAGAGGATATATTGGGGTTGCATAGGTATTTTATTGGGGTTATATAGAGATAATGGAGAATAAAATGGAAACTAGTATATCATATGGGGTTATATAGGGGTAATATAGGGATGATGGAAAATGAAATGGAAACTACTATTTAGTTCTATAATGATACATTGGGGGAATCACATGGAACAGAAAATGGAAAATGAAATGGAAACTGGGGTAACATGTTGTTTGAAATAGTTTTAGTGTTCTATAGATTCTATAGGGGATATATTGGGGATATGTAGGGATAATGGAAAAGAAAATGGAAACTACTATTTAGTGTTGGGGGTGTAGGGTTTCGGGGTTTAGGGTCTAGGCGTTGGGTTTGGGGTTGGGGGTTTTGGGGCTGTTTAAGATTTGGGGTTTAGGGTTCGGGGTTAAAAAGAGCACAGAACGCCATCAGTTTGACGCGGGCAGCTCTGCACGCTTCATTCTTCCTTTCTGCTGATTTCCTCCTCCTTTGTTTCCGCCTTCTGCTCTTGTTCCTTTGACTCTCCTCTGTTGTCTTCTTGTTTTCCTGCTAAAGAAGCATCAAACAACACAAGCAAGTTTCATGTTCAGCTTGCTTCTCACAACGACCAGACTCCGTGGATGTTCTATCCGTCAGAGACTCCACATCCCCAACGAGTGTGGCAAGTCAAAGGGAGTTATGAGAAATGGCATAATCAACTGGTATTGTTACTATTATGACTATTAATACTATCCATACTCTTACTGCTACAACTTTCAGTATCTAAAATCTTATTACTACTACTTGAATGAGTTGCAGTGTGCAACCCAACCTGCACATCCGCCATCGACACTGCCGTGGAGCCTTTCGTCTGTGCTTGAGGCAAGGCATCATCTTGAGATCAGTGCATCACAAGACCTCTGCAAAATTCTGTAAAACATCCCAAAGTAATCCCCATATACTACAATAGTTTCCATGTTCTTTTCCATTATTCCCTATGAGTTCTCTACTCCTCTACAAACCGTCTTCCCGATCAACGAGTCCTGGGGAGCTGCCATGCAGGGGCTGACCTAGGTCAACATAACACCATTTTATTGTGTAGTAGTTTCCATTATCTTTTCCATTATCCCCATATAGCCCCGATACAGTAGGTCAACGAAAACGATGCAGCTTTGCGGTTCTTGAGCGACGCTTGTCTGAACGTGCATTCCTTTTGACTTTAGGAAAGATGTTGGGGCCATATGTCGGGAAAAATGGAAATGTAATATGCTATAATATACTGCTAGTATAACCTAGAATAATATGATATACTGTACTATGATATGCTACAATATACTGTAACATAACATATTTAAACCATTATTGTGTCCTTTTGACATGGGCTGCTTCGGTATGTTACCCGGATCTTAGCCAGGGGCTGCCGCCGCCCTCATGGTGCAGGGAGCCGTCGGCAGCGATGACTACATACCTACCAGGCTGCCATCAAGTTCAGGGTTTAGGTTTTAGGGTAGGGTTGAAGGTTTCGGCTTATTGAACTTATTAAGGGTTCAGGTCCGGGGAAATTTCTCCATAAGTTTCAGAAAGGTTGGCAAAAAAGTTGTTTTTGGACTTTGCTGATAAGCTCAATTTACAGGACACTTGAGGGTTTGGGGCTTAGGGCCAGGCCGCCATCAAGAGCGCAGCCTCGGAGACTTGCTTTATAAGATCATATACTGTAATATCCTATAATGTACTATATCATGATACAGTGTACTATAGTATACTATAAGTCTAGACTAGAGGGTGCCATAATACAATATAACGTACTATAATATCATACATTATACTACACTACAAGTATAATACATCATGCTATATTGTACTATTTTTGGTAAATGCATGCTATAACAGACTATGATACACGTTATCTGGGTTGGCCCCTAAAGCCCTTTGAAAAACATTAGTATATAGGGCCCCTTATTAAACCCATTAGGGAAAACATCAAATATCCCAGGAGCCTACCTAGTTATCATATTCAAATATACCGTGCTTTCTGGAGCAAAGCAGGCCTGGTTTCACTCTGGGCGGTCTCTATGCCAGATGCACATCTGACACCGTTGCCTTAGGTTTATGGCATTGTTTCCCCCTGTCCACATTCCAATACTTGCTGTGGGTTAGTGGGGAATAAGGGAAAATATGTGTATATATCTCTCTAGATATATATATATATAGCTAGATAGGCTTACGGTTTAGGACTCATATTAAGGTTATGCTAAACCCATGCGCAAGCTAGGGGCTGCCTGCAAGCAACCACCCGGCGGTCCAGGCATAGCTCAAGCATGTCATAACGAGACCAACTCACCTTCTTTGCCACATGGTAGTTTCAATACATAAGGAGTCCCTCATATAGACCCCAATATACGATGATCCTCGTTGTAGTTATAGACACTCCAAAAAAGAGGGCCTTGACTTTCAGAAATTCCCGAATCGTCCCCGTGTTCTAGAAATTATGCCCTGTTTGCCTAGGCATGCCCAGAGACCCAAAGACTAGGCACATCAAGCACTCTGTACGTGTCAGCTTTGCTTGAAACTGCGACAGCACCACACATGCCTGCTTAAGTCTACACTGCTAGAATGGAACTGCTGTCTCAGCTAGATTCTTGCGAGCTGGCTGTCCACATCTTCCGAATGGAAAGATGACATGGGGGTTTCCCAAAATTAGGGGTACCATTGTTGGGGTCCGAATTATCAGGACTACAGTATTCGCAGCTCTAAATTGCGGATATAGGGAAACTACCAACTACACTCCAAGATCTCCACTTTAACCCTAAGCCCGAAACCTTAAACCCTAAACCATAAACCCTAAACCCTAAACCATAAATCCTAAACCCTAAACTCTAAACCCTAAACCCAAGGCAAGCACAGTGGCTTCTTTTCTGCCTTGCATCACATTCGAAGCAGAGCGATGATTGAGGCATGGCAGTGGCAATTGGCCAAATTGTTGTTTAGGGTTCTGGGTTTAGAGTTTAGGGTTTAGAGTTTACGGTTTAGGGTTTAGGTAAATGGAAACTACTATAAAATCATAGAGTATATCTTGGGGTTATATAGGGGGTAGACTGGGGTTATATTGGGATAATGGAAAAGAAAATGGAAACTGCTGGATTTAGCGTTCAGGGTTTAAGGTTTGGGGTTCAGGGTTGGTTGAACCCAGCAAAAGTATATTCTTCATCTAAATTACTATTCCCCAAAGGAGGATATAATCTTACTCCATGTTGGGGCTATAGCATCCCCAAATGAAATTCTACTCGATGTCGATCTCAGGTATCTGGGCTTTTCCTAGGGGTCTATTGGAATCTGCAAGGCAAATGACATTCGCCACTGCCTCTGCTTTTTGCGTATGTACAAAGACTTTACGACTCTTACAGCATCGGTCGCGAGCCAAGAAAGAAGCACTCCCTTGAGTACTTGACCGTTCTCCGACGGAAAACAACATATTGGGGTTATCTTGAGGTTATAATGGGATAATGGAAAAGAAAATGGAAACTACTAAAATATGATAGAGTATATATTGGGGTTATATAGGGGTTATACTGGGGTTATATTGGGATAATGGAAAAGAAAATGGAAACTACTATGGTATGATGGGGTATATTTTGGGGTTATATAGGGGTCATGTTGGGGTTATACTGGGATGATGGAACAGAAAATGGAAACTACTGTAATATAATAAGGTATATATTCGGGTTGTTTAGGGGTTATATTGGGATATTGACAGCTCCAGCATAGAGACAGAAACGACATCCTCTCAGGAGCAAGCGTCACAGTCCTTGGTACTCGAAAAGCTGCTTAGAGTCAGCCCTAAACCCTAAATCCTAAACCCTAAACCTTACAGTCGGGCGTCGCCTTATGCTACTGACAAGGGCATTACTCACCCGCTGCCTTCTACAAGAAGAAGCTCAGCTTTGGCCCTTAACTCTTTACAATCAGCCCCTAAGCTTGGGTCAATCCCCCNNAGGTATATTAAGGTCCTATTAACTCTATATTAAGGAGCCATTACTATAGGGGGGATTGACCTAACCTAAACCCCTAAACCCTAAACTCCCTAAACTCTCTAAACTCCCGAAACTCCCGAAACTCCCAAACCTTCCGAAGCCCTGCTTCCGGGCTGCCCAGGAAGCCCCAGCGGCCCTCAGCCTCTGCAGCGTCTGCGGCGTCCGGCCACAGCGGACGGACTTCCGACTCTGCACAGTTCTGGACAACCTCCGGGGTTCCCTACACTCAAAGTCCCCTTTTCAAGGCAATATAGGGATTATATAGAGGTTATGCAGAGGTTTTTTAAGGTTTTTTAGAGACATTCTTCCCTTTTTAGGGTTTAGGTGTACCATATAGGGTTTAGGATTTAGGGTTTAGGTTTTAAGGTTTTAAGGTCTAGGGCGTAGGGTTATTTGAATATAGGGGTCACATGGGGATATACAGCATTTAGGGTTTCGGGTTTTCCGAAAAATTAGGGGTACCATTTTGGGATCCCTATAATGAGGACTATAGTATCTTGGGTCTATATTGCGGTCCCCCATTTAGGGAAACTACCATACAACATGAAGCTTGCTTTGGGGACATTGCGAACCCTTTTACCAATTGACAACAGAAATAAAGCGAAACCCTAAACCTAAACACTAAATTCCTAAAACCCAAATCCTAAACCCTAAACCCTAGATCCTAAACCCTAAACCCTAAATCCTAAGCCCGAAACCCTAACCTCCGGAGGTCTTCGTCGGTGAGCTGGTGCAGAGACATCCCGGCTGCAATCTGACAAGTAGGACCAAACCTGGCTTGCTACTAAGCAACTGAATACGGGTATATAGGGTTTGACATTTAGGGTTTAGAGTGTAGAGTTTAGGGTGTAGGGATAGTGTCCCCCCTATAACGGAGAATCAAATGGACAAAAAATGGAAAATTACATGGAAACTGTGGTAACAGATGGACTTAAGGAACTTAACTTCAATTAGTATATTCAGGGAACCATATCAGTTACGATACAAATATATGTATATATACTCATTATGATAACTTAGTTTAAGTTCCTTAACAGCAGCCCAGAAACAGCTCGAAGATCCTCCGCCGACTGCACTTCGCATCCCCTGCCAGCAGGCAAAAGAGGACCCTACACAGTATAGATGGGAATATATCGGGACAACCCCCCACCCAGTAAAGGGTACCACAAGGGACTACTGTAGGTACATTGAGGTAACTCCATAGCAAGGAGCTATTACTACAGGGGAGGATTAACCTGAGGAATATACTTCTTCAGGGGAGATATAATGGACACATGTAGGGTTTTCTAGGGATTCGAACAAGCCTTAACCCTGAACTCTAGAACCCTTCACCCTGCCAGAACAGTTTCCATGACATCCGAGACCCTAAATCGATCTCGGAACCAAGCTGGTCCTCGCCTGTTCGCAGTAAAGACTGGCAGAGCGATCAGCCTCGCAATTCACAGCTTTGAGAAACAAATCCGGCTTCTGTCTTACTTGGGGATATTAAATTAAGACTAGAATATGAGCCATAGTCTAAACTCCTAGTATCCCCCTTAGTAGCCCCTAAAATACTCCCCTACATAAGTCACTGTAAGGAGTTTAGACTATGGCTTATATGACTTCGGTATATCAAATTGGGGTGATACCCTCAGCGCTTGACAGAATCCGATCACTTCTTTTCGTCGCCAAGAGCTAGTATGGTTACATGCTTCCTCTTCGGCGGCTCGACCTTCTTCTTGACGGCTGGCGCACGAAATAACCAATCCTCAATGAGGACATAGTCCAAATCCTGGGTTGCTGTTGAGGAACTTAGCTAAAGTCGCTAGCATAAGGAAACCCTGTTATTTACTACATACCCATATTATGGTATGAATTTATGTACGCTCCTTAACAGCAACCCAGAATCTTCCAGTTCGTCCAACATCTCCAGAGATGCCTTCACAGTATTAACAATTGGCTTGCCTTTGGAGTTGAAGCTTGTGTTGATGAGCGCAGCTAGTCCGGTCAGCTGGCCAACTGCCAGCAGCAGTGCGTGTACCCAGGGCTCATCCGTTCGGCTGACGGACTGGTGTCGCGCTGTACCATCAAAGTGGGCAATGGCAGGAAAGCGTTCGCGGACTTTGCTCGTAACAAGAGGGGCGAATTCCATGTAGGTAGAGGTGTATTTGAAACCAAAAACTTCCTCCAATGCCTCTTCAGCAATCATGGGTGCTACAGGCCGATACCACTGCCGGAACTTAAGCCGATTCATGCGCTCACGCATAGCATGGGAGTCTGGCACAGCGAGCAACGATCGGTGTCCCAAAGCCCGAGGTCCAAACTCCTGCCTGCCACGCACCACAGCGATAATGGGCTTCTCATGCTTTGGTCTGCTGGCTGCCCATGCTGGTCCTCCGGAGAGAAGTTCCGCCAAATAGTTCACCCCACCTAGCTGAGAGAGTCTCATAGCTCCTCGTGCCTCTGCTTCCCCAGGAAGGTCATCCAGATCCCAGAGCCCAAAACCTAGATACTGAAGAGGTTGACGAGGACCAGTTGGTGGCGCAACAGCCCAGATGGCTCCAACAGTCAGCCCCGAGTCGTTCGGAGCTGGAGGAACGTAAACATCTTGGGGCTTGGTGTAGCTCTTCTGTGCCGCTCTGACTTCGGTGAGCGTGTCTCGCACGAGCTGATTCGCCACCACGTTGAGTGCGCAGCCTCCAGTCAGCACGATCCCTTCAACGCTTACGCCCTTAAGCTGCATTTCGCGTAGGTAGTCCTGCACAATCGGATGCACGATGCGCTCGAATTCAGCTTGAATCGTGGCCGCAAGAACACGCTGGCTCTCGGTTCCTTCACAGACCTTCTTGAGAAAAACTCGTGGCACCTCCCTCTTCCCCTGAGCGGCGCGGTGAAAGTACTGCCGAATCCATGGCCCAATCTCAGGCGAAGGCTGAGACAGGCCAGAGTATCCCATCAGCTTGCCCGCAAAGGTAACAAACTTTGCCACAGGGTACAACATGGCCAGGTCAACCCAGTCATCCTTTGCCTCCTCAAGCCTCTCACATACAAGGGCCTGGGTTTCCGGATAGCCTGTGACCTCCTGCAGGTAGCTAGCAAGCTTGTAGTATCCTCCACCCATGTTGAGCGGCTTACGACCGATGCGATACAGCTCAAGGCCCCTGGCGATGAAGGCGTTGAAGACCCCATCGTTGCCGCCGCCATCATAAGACAAAATGAAGGCAGAGCGGAAAGGAGAAGCGAAGTATCCCATCAGTGCGTGGGCCTCGTGGTGGTTCACGTTCCGCCACTCCCGAACAGTGAAAACCCTCTCCACAATCTGTGGCAGGTAATGTGTCTGAGCCACTACATTGTCCCCAAAATTTACCATGATGCCGTAATCGAAGCTTGTAGGGCACATACCATGATCACACTCACAGTGCTCCTGTACCGTCTCAACTGCATTTTGCCAGTGGAAGTTGAAGTTATCAATGGAAGGAATGAAGTAGCGATCTCCGTACAGCCGCTCCAACTCCAAGACACATTGGATTCGGCCGCCCTTTCCAACAGCTATGGAGCCATCATGGCCAGCATGTAAGGCAATGATGGAAATCCCCTCCGAGTGTAGGGCCTCCGGGAGATTGAACTCTTCATACGTCCTACGAACGCAACTGTCAACTTCAGCGTCATCCGTGGAACCTAAGCCTCGGCTTGAACGCCTGGCCTTCAGGGATAAGCCTGTGGAGTTGGTGGTCCACAATCCAGGCGAGTCTCGGCCTACTGGCAAACCCACTTCACATGGAGGGTAGATCTCTGTATTGCAAAGGTCGCTGGAAGTCTTTGCAACAAAGGCCCACGCCGTGCGAAGCAGTGAACAGGACATGGCCCAGAGGAGCATGGCTCCGTCTGATGCACAAATCATCGTAAAATTAGGGGTTAGGGTGTTGCAAATACTCCATCTTTTGAAACCTCCGTTTCAACCCTGGACCCTGATCCTTCACTCCCAATCCTGTGAATATCCATGTGCGCCCGGATATGTTTCCGTTCGTGGAAGAGAACAACAGTGCAATAAATGAGAAACATTTCCATGGAGCTTCAAGGGTGACTTTGGCACTTACTTTGTAGGGCTTATAGTAGTTTATGGGGTTTTATAGGGTTATAAGGTGCATAGGGTGTATAGGGTGTGTGTGTGTGTATAGGGTTTAGGGTTCTGACCGGCTGGTCTGTTGTGTTTTCTTGAATGCCTCACGAGTCCATTGGAGTGCTGATTTCAATTCGACTTCTAGGATGCTGATGGATTTAGGGTTTAGGGGGGTGTAGGGTTTAGGGTTTAGGGGGGTTTAGGGTTTAGGGTTTAGGGGGGTTTAGGGTTTAGGGTTTAGGATTTCGGGCTTAGGGGTTGCTCAAGTTAAGTTGTGGCCTTTGCTTCCTAAGCTTGAAATGCCTGTTGCAGGAAACACTCAGCAACAGACCCTAAGGCGAGCAATGCACATGACCACTATCATTATGACAGTATCCCATATAACCCACATATAACCCCATATAACCCCTATGTAACCCCTACATAACCCCCATATAACCCTATATAACCCCCATATACCCCCTAAAATAACCCCTACATAACCCGTATATAACTGCTGTATGATTATTACATGCCAAGCCACAAGCTCCAGGTGTGCGGCGTCCAGTCTTCAGGTAGCCGAAGGCTGGAGTGCCAAAACCAGCGCGGAGCAAAGCGACTTCCTCCGTGACACCTTAGCTCCAAGATTAAATACGATGGGACTATAGTACTATAATACGATGATACTGTGAAACTATAGTACCATGGACTATAGTACTATGGTACTATAATACTAGCAAAGGCATGTCTCTTGAGATTAGACAGCCGTGTAACTTGAATGCTGGACGGGGAGCGAAAGGCAAAGTGTTGTCGCGGTCAAGTGAGCTATAGCCTAAACTCCTAGTACCCCCCTTAATAACCCCTATAGTGTAATAGCCCTTGAGATAAATTCCTATATAACCCCATTTAAAAAGCTTGAGGGTATAGCTCAAGTGGACAAGTCTTTCGCAAGCACTTCAGAGCGTCAAGATCACAGCCAAGGCACAAAGGACTCGCCAAACTACCTGGCATGTTGTTTCAGCGGTGTGTCACACGTGTCATCTCATCTGTGTGTGAAGGTTAAGTGCCGGTTACATGGCAAGTGAGTAGCATTTGTTGGCGGCGAAGCAAATACGATTACATTCTTCTTAACTAGAGCATCACCATCAAAAATACCACTCAAGCGGCCTTCCAGCCCTGGCGAGCTCCGGGACAGGTTCCATGGAGCCGGACTCACTCGAGCCCAGACAGCACCAGCTGCACCAGCTGGCAAGGACTGGATGCACCACTGCCAGCCTCGGAATGCGGCCGCCTGCACTGCAGAAGACAAGCTCGAGAGCTCTGAAACTTCGAGAAGCATGTCAAGAACCTCTGAAGATTTGGGCAGGTTGTGCGAATCCGCCGAGTTAATAGCAGCGTGAGCGACTGTACCTGTTTGCCCGAGCGCCGCAGCAATCAGCACATCCACGGCAAGATCCACTGGAACAGCCGGAGTCGGATCCGAGGACAGCAGCCAAAACGGATGGAGCGAAAGAGTGTCCGCCGAGAATGCGAACGGGTGTTGCAAGCGCGCATGGCACCAACCGGGCCATGGGCGCGACCAAGCTGGGCCAAGGGCCGCTGGCCTCACAATCCGTGGCTCGAGGCCGTTCTCCAAGCAGAATTGATGCGTTAGGTGCTCCGCCAGAGCCTTTGCAAAAGGGTAAGGCTGCTGTACGTCCAGAGCTCGCATCACTTCCCTGGCCCAACGTCCGTCGCCAACAGCGTCTCGATAAAGATCCATCGGTGCAAATCCCTGCAAGTCCAAGAGGCTTTCTGGCAGCGGACCTGATGAACTTGGAAGAAAGCCAGTGGACACGAAGACGTATCTTTCAGCTTGCCAGCTTGCAGCTAGCTTCGCAACTTGCAGTGCCGCAGAGACGATGGAAACGGTTGCTTGCTGCATGGACATGTGCGTATCTATGTCAGCGGCACTGTGCAGGCATGCACGAAGTGGCTCCGGATATGGCCATGCTTGCAACACAGGCCACCCAAAGTTTTCCTTCACCACATCACCCTCCAGCACCACCACCAGTCGACGAAACTCATCTTGGACTGAACGGAACAGGCCAGCATCCTGCAACTCACGCCGGCGGTCTTCTGCAGATTTGCGGCCTTGAGCGCGCACCAGCAAGACTACTCGAGAGATCTCCAAGGTTTGAGCTTGTCTCAGGAGTTCCTGGGTTGCTGTTAAGGAACTTGATTTAAGTTACTATATTGGAGAAACCCACTATACATATATATATATATAAATATATAGATATCTGTATATATATATATACGTATTGTGGTAACTTGAATTAAGTTCCTTAACAGCCACCCAGGCTCATACAGCAGCATGGAGCCCAGAAAGCCCGTGGCACCCGTCAGCAGGATGGCACCGGCCAAGGAGCCTTTGGTTAGCTGGGAATGAAAGAACGGAAAAGAAAATGGAAATTACTATAATGGGCTTTAGGCTTTAGGGTTTAGGGTTTAGGGCTTTAGGGTTTAGGGTTTAGGGTTTAGGATTTAGGGCTAATAATGGGTTATACATGGACCTCTAAACCCCAAAACCCTATCATCGTTTATATAGGAACTACAATAAAGATCCATTCCTTCATTCCTAGCTAACCAAAGGCCAGAGGAGCCAGCTTGGTGAGAAGGAGGGCGAGCATCCGGTGGCGCTGCCAGAGCTTCCGACAAGTTGCCCGAGAGTCTCCCAGACCTGCTTGCGCAATAATAATAGTAGTAAAAACAACAATAAAAATGAAACTGTTCTTCATAAGAATCCTAATAGTATTGTAGACATGCAAAGCATACTGGATTAGGTGCCACACACTCATGTTAGCAGCATTTGTTGACCTGGCTTCCCTGCCTTGTTGCTCTATGGAGACTGGCAAACAAGCGAGACCTGCACCACGAGAACGAAGTTGACATGAGCAGATCTGGCAATAAGGCCATATATTATATTGCGAATAATGGAAAGTAAATGGAAAGGAATACAGTATACAGCGATTATATTGGGATAGTATACAACACTTGAACTACTTCACAGCATATTGGGATTATGTTGGGATATTATACAACAATTCAACCACTTGCGCCCGGGGGGGACGAAAGCTCATGAACAGGACGGTGGAGGGTATCTCCCCCTGATTTTAGCCATAAACACGACCAATCGCTTCAGGCAGCACCCCGATTTCGGACTTTAAAGCGACTCTCAAAACGGACCAGATTGAGAAGAACCCGCAAATGGCATACGGAGATGCAGTGACCAGAACCAGGCCCCTCTGCAGCCAAATGGCTGGTTCCACAAACCCCTTAACCTAACCTTTCCCTGCGATGAGACCCTTCATTCGGAGACTGACTCGCCTGGGAAACATACGGAACTGAGGTGTCGGGCAAGGGATTTTTCGAAATCATGAGCGCTTCCAAAAAGCAGCATGTTGGATGGATAGGATTGACCACCAGTTTAACAAATACATGTATCAAAATCCATTGGTAAAAACCATGACTTGTGACACTGTTCAAGTCTTCCTGACAGGCATGACATGTTGCAGAATCTGGGCCAGACTCGGCCAGACCAATGCTTAAAGTCGGTCTATCGGGGTTATATTGAGGTTATATTGGGGTTATACAGGGATAATGGAAAATAAAATGGAAACTACTGTATATCATATAGGGTTATATAAGGTAGCTCAGCTCCAAACTCTTCAGATAACTTGTCCTCAGCTCACTTGGCCCCACCCAGCCTTGGCATTTCGGGAGCTTGATGCCCTTGCTCTGGCGCCGCGGCTGAACCAGACTCAGGGGCCTGCTGAACTCCAAGGCGTGCGGTGCAGGGAGAAGGCCGCCAACCAGGCACAAACTCGTCGGCAAGACGGCAGTAAGCAAGTTTCGCATCTGCAGCGCTCATGCTGCCCAGCTGGGACCAAGCATCCCACTTTGCTCTTGCCACCTGGTTGAAAATGCTCGGCCGAGAACCCTGC